GACGACATTTGCCAAAAATTTCGCTTCTTTTATTGAGTAAATTATGTGTTTCAAAATGCAAAATTTTTCTTCCAAACATAAATTGCAGCGTTTTGATCCCCCTATGTACGAAATTTACGCTGCAATTTATGTTTGGAAGAAAAATTTTGCATTTTGAAACACATAGACAATTACAAGACAATTTACTCAATAAAAGAAGCGAAATTTTCGGCAAATGTCGTCACAAAAACCGGTTTCGAGTAAACAAGGTCGTTAACAAAACCTAATGACCCAAGCATGCATTGTTTCACCTATGCATTGTTTCGCCTACACGCATTCCGCACATTCTTTCGATAGCATAAAAGCAACCCACAATTTCGAAATTATTCACCACCTGATGATTCCTATACGGATGAAACAGACTGTTGTGGTTTTTTGAGGTAAAACGAAAACTATATATATATATATATATATATATATATATATATATATATATATATATATATATATATATATATATATATATATATATATATATATATATATTATATATTATATATTATATATTATATATTATATATTATTATTATTATTATTATACAATATTAGATACTCCCAGTAGGGCTTTTCAGGATCTAATTACAAATATGAAATTCTACAGGGTGTATAAAAAAAAGCGCAATCCTCAACTGAAATGTAAATTGCTAAAGAAATAATAGACGAAAACGTTAAAGTTTACATTCATTTTAAAGCGTAGCCATTCAGCTTTCTAACAGTAGGTTGTTTCTTAAATTTGACACATTGGTTCGCGGGTAATGATACTTTACGTTATTGCGATTGGAGATTAAAAAAATTGAGATGGAATAACAAATCGTTCTCATGAAAATAACTGATTTTTTCATTAAAACAAAAAAATGTTGCATTTTCATAAATGGATTGTAACAATAAGTATAATTACGGCTTTTCTTCCACTATTTTTAACACAGTTTGAAACTTCAAATGCGATACAATTTTGGCTTGGACCATCTAAGCTGACTGACATTATCTTGCTATAATTTCTGTTTACATTACATCGCAATTCGATGACACTCTGGCTCAGACACCAGAATGTTTTGAATCTATGATTTTTAGCATTCGTGTATAGGATTTTCAAACAACCTAGTCTCTTTTAAAATACTTTTAATTTGTTCTTACGTGGTTTTCCAGATGTAGTGACGACAACATTAAAGTTTAAAGAAGAAAATTCTAACATTTAAACTGACTAAACAATAACATAGTAAACTTGCATAATTAAACAGCAACTAAAAATGATAGGTTTCACTAAATCTTTTCCTGTGCAATTATTACTAGCATTGGAAACAAGGATAATAGTTTGTTTGAGAGAGAAAAGAACAGGCTTTGAAGTAAGCCTAAAAGCGTTTAACTAGAAATAGTATTTCGAAAGTTATTAAGCACAAAAGATGAATTGCGTTTATTTTGATACACCCTGTATATCTATAAAAGTATCTAAAAATGAATTTTGAAGGTATAACATAGGCTATAGTTCTAAATATTCTATAAATCTGTTAAACACCACTTTCAGTTAAAAATTCTTCTAATAACATACGTTTGTATTCTACTTTAAATCGAGTCAAAGTATCAATGTTTTTAAGAGACTGAGGCAGAGAATTCCACAAGGACACAGCCTATAGTGAAATGTTGGTTTACCCGCAGCTGATCTGTACATTGGTATATCCAAAATGTTCTTTTGCCTTGTGTTAACGCCATGAACATCTGACCTGACATGGAACTTCTTACACAAATACGATGGTGCCAACCCCTTCAAGCATTTGAAAGCAAAAATGGCTTCTCTTAATTTTAACATGTTTTTAACTGGAAGCCAGCCCAGTTGTTGCAGAACAGGAGTCACGTGATCGTATTTTCTCGTTCCTGTAACAATACGTGAAGCAAAGATCTGGACCGCTTGAATATATATATATATATATATATATATATATATATATATATATATATATATATATATATATATATATATATATATATATATATATATATATATATATATATATATATATATATATATATATATATATATAGTGCTTTTTGAGTTGTTTTCAGACGAGTGTACACCAAACCGGGCAAGCAGAAAATTCTACTTGACCGCGGCTGGGATTCGAACCCGCGACCTTCGTATTTCTAGAACGATGCTCTACCGTCTGAGCTACAAGGTCAAGCTGAGAACGACTTGTTAATTTATGATGTTAGTTGCATTTCGGAGGTTAGTCCTTCAATGCATAAAGCCAGCTATTAGTCTGGCAATGTTGTATGTGAATGTGGTGGTTTCCCACCCTTACGATTCCACTCGTGTAACGTTATGTATAGTGGTTTTTGAGTTGTTTTCAGACGAGTGTATACAAAACCGGGCAAGCAGAAAATTCTACTTGACTGCGGCTGGGATTCGAACCCGCGACCTTCGTATTTCTAGAACGATGCTCTACCGCCTGGGCTACAATGTCAAGCTGAGAACGACTTGTTAAGTTATGATGTTAGTTGCATTTCGTAGGTTATTCCTTCAACTAGTAGCTGGCTTTACGCATTGAAGGACTAACCTCCGAAATGCAACTAACATCATAACTTAACAAGTCGTTCTCAGCTTGACCTTGTAGCTCAGAACTTAAAGTCATCAAGTATATCATACGTCGGTTTCCTCAATGTAGTATAGATGCCTTTGGAAGGTGGGCCTCAACGCGTAAATGATTCGAGGAAATTTTCCCTCCTAGAACAGTGAAACGGCATATTACCGACAAACCTTGAATAACACCAGAGGTCAAGAACCTTATAAAAGACCGCCAGAAAGCCTTCCACAGTAACAATACTTCCCTTTGGCGATTACTGAAAAATAAATTCCAACTTGAAATAGCGGAAAAGAAAATGTCATTTTACAGAAAAGAAGTCAACCACTTAAAGTATACAGTACTGCTCAGAAGTAACCTAATAAAAAACGCGTTCCAGGACGCGTTCCGGACGCGTTCCTGTTTGCGTTTTAGACGCGTTCCTGAACGCGTACCGCGAGACATTCCGAACGCGTTCTAGAAAGGTTTCCTGATTCAGAACTAGTGAATCGTAATCAGTTCGACAATACTCGGAAATTATCGCGAATTATAGCGTACCATATAACATAGAAAAACTTCTTGCGAAGGGAATCAAACACATTTTAGGCTACAATGAGAAAGCTTTTCTTGTATGCAATAACTGGCCCTTGTAAATAGCGTTGCTACTATTTCGATATTCAAAATTGCACAGATGGCACCCGTCTCTGTCAGACAAATTTAGTTACATATGATTTGCCACGGCGACATAAAATTCACGACTAAAATATCTTCTTAAATTAATATCATCTGTAGAAACGCATGAATGTTGTGTGCTGGAAGAGTTACTTCGGACGAAGCTCTAAGCTACAATCTTTGACAATATAGATTGGGACAATCTAGTTTTCACA